CCCCACGGGCCCTTCCCGGGGCTGGCCCTGGGAGCCCCGGTGCCTTCTGGCTCAGGCTGATCAGCCTGAAATCACTGGGCTCTCCCCCCACACCCTGACTCGCCAGGGGCTGCCCCACGGCCCGTTAGCGCCCAGCCATGAGCCCGGCAGCGTCTCTCCGAGCCCGGTTCGGAGCCACTGGGTCCAAAATCCCCAGTCCCTGGAGGCCGGCGAGCCCTCCTGCAGCTGACACGTGCCCTGGGGGCTCACGCTGCACAGGGCTGCTGGCTCAGCAGATGGGGTGAGCGTTTCCCTCTCCGTGACTCAGCGCGTGGGCTCCACTGCCTGCCACAAACACCACGCGGCTGCTGCCAGCGGAGAACCAGCGAAGCCAGCGGCAAAGCGCCAGGCCGGTGGGGTGGGGAGAGCAGGCCTGCCCGAGGCCTTGGAATCGCCGTGCCCCTTCTGTGCCTGAGGATCTCAAAGCGCCGTGCAGACGGGCACAGGGGTGAGCCAGGAGCGCCCCGAGAAAATGGCAAAACTCGCATCTGAATCCAGGCTGCCGAGGGCCAGTTCCGGGGGGGAGCTGGGCTGGACTCAGCCCATGGCCCAGCGCCCTGTTTGGGGGCACTAGCGGTGCGCTATGGACCGCGGGAAGGGCTGGGCCGGGCCAGGATCCCGGGCACAGGGAGAAGGGGCAGGTGGGTGAGGATGAGGAAAACCCGAGCAATGCGCCTCACCCGCCCCCGGGACATCGTGGGTGGGAGGGAGCAGCTCCCAGCCAGGGAGGACGGCCCAGAGCAGTGGTGGTGGCAGGGGACTCCGCAGATCTTCCTCCCGATCTCGTTTCCCGCACCCCCACCTGCTCTGCCCCAGTCACCCTGCCTCCCCCGGCCCCGAGCCGGGCCCAGCCCATCCCTCCAGTGTGGGGAGCCGCTCATCTGGACACTTGCCCGGCGGTCCTGGCTGGCTGCCCCTGCTCTGAGCCAGGGGACCTCCCCGAGGGGCGGTCGTGGGGTCGCTGCATAGCCGTGCTGGGAGAGCAGGGAAAGGGAATGGGGGACATGGGACACTTGCCCTGGGGGGGGGCCGGTTCGGATCTGGCCCCAGGGCAGGGGCTGGTCGGCTCAGGGGGGTGGGCAATGGGGCATGGGGCCTGTCCCCTCTAGGAGGAGCTGGTTCGGATCTGGCCCCAGGGCAGGGGCTGGCTGGCTGGGGAAGAGATTCGTTACAGCAGAGCGGCGGGAAGCGGGTCAGAGCCAGTCGCCGGCTGTCCCCCTCCCAGATATCTGGCTTTGTCACCCAGGCCTGAAGGAGCCGCAGGCCGGTCTGGAAAGCCCCGAGGTGACACAACCAGGGAGGAATTCCCCAAGGGTCTGGTTGGGCTGCCCTGGGGAAGTGCTCACGCGGCGTCTCAAACCACAGAGCCCCGGCTCCGGGTTTAACCATCAGCACCCAGGTGAGTTTGGGGAAGTCTCTCTCTAATCCCCTCTCCAGTGCAGCCCTGTGGGATGGGATCAGGCCCTGACGGCGCGGTGCTGACCCAGTGGCTTTGGCCTGGGCCAGGTGGTGTTGGGAGATGGTTTGTGACCCACAGGGAGGATGCTACACTGGGATTCACACACCTGGGGCCTGGTCCTGGGCAGGTCACGGGTCCTCGCTGGGCCTCTCTTTCCACCTTTGTCTAGTTAGGCTGTGAGCTGGGCAGCACGTGGCACAACAGAGGGCCTGATCTCAGCCGGGGTCTAGCCAGCGCCCGGCCTGACAGGGCCCTGATCTTGGCTGGGTCTGGGCAGCGCCCGGCCTGATGGGGCCCTGATCTCAGCCAGGGTCTGGGCAGGGTGGGGATGGGAGTCGTCCCCCCGGATTTCTAGCAAAGTGCACAATGCTGGATTTGTGGCCCTGGGGCTTGTGCAGCGGGAGTGGAGAGACAGGCTGGGGTCATGCAGGGGACATGCAGTCCCGGGTTCATTCCCAGCATCTCTTCATCTTCCATGATAAAAAATAACGAACACCCCAGGCTGCACTGAGCGAACGCCCATTGGAGCCCCCCAGCCTGGGATCCTGAAGCACAGAGTGATCCTCCCAGCCCCCCGAGGTGGAGTAGCAGCACCGCCCCCATTGCACACAGGGAAACTGAGGCACAGGGCGGGGATGTGACTTGCCCAAGGTCACAGAGCAGGGCAGCAGCAGAACTAGACACAGAACTCAGGAGTCCTGGCTCCCCTCCCTCCACTAGACCCCACTCCCTGCCCAGAGCTGGGGTAGAAACCAGGAGTCCTGGTTCCCAGCCCCCGCTGCACTAACCACTAGATATCACCCCCCTCCCAGAAAGAGTGGACAAGGTAGCCCTTTAATGAGCACCATTAAGTTTCAGGGTGAACAGCCCCTCCCGCAGTGCTGCTGGTGCAGGCTGCCATGAGGGTGGCGTGGCTCCACTTGCTGCAGCCACAGGATGTGCTGGGGCGGGGTGGGGCTGCCGTGCAGGGAGCGGGGGAGCAGCCCCCGGTGCTCTTAGCTCAGCAGCCAAGTTGTCGGTGCTTGAGCGGCTGCCTGTGCCCCAGGCGGTTCCCACGTCCCAGCACTGCGGGTCGGGCTGCCCGTGTTCCTAGGGGATCCCCACGCTGCACCCCCATGCGCTAGAGCCCCTTGCACTCCCAGAGCCGGGAGAGAACCCAGGAGTCCTGGCTCCCAGCTCCCCCCACTCTAACCCACCACTCCCCTCCCGGAGCTGGGGATAGTCCTGGCCCCCAGCCCCAACCCAATAAGCCAGAATCCCCACGCCCGGCAGGCCTGGGGTGGAAGGGCTGGGTGCTTGCACTCAAGGGAGCAGGTCGGGGCTTGCCTGGCAGGGAGGAGGAGACAGACAGACAGACACACAGCACAGCACTCCAGGGGCCGTGGGCGGATGAACCGGTTGAGCAGAAGGACCGGGTGCCAGGCAGTGCCGCTGGGGGCCGATTCTGCAGGGATCGTGCCCAGGCTGCAGGGCAGGGCCGTGGGGGGCGTTGTGGGCTTCCCACAGGAGGGCGCGCGGGTGGCAGGAGGATCCGGATGCGCTGGCCCATTGGGAACCCGGGAGGAAACACAGTGCCCAGCCCTGGGGGCCAGGGAAGAGGGGCGGGCATGGCGCCGGAGCCCAGGGATCAAACGGATCCCCCCAAAGCCTGGCAGAGACAGAGGTCAGGTGTCTCTGCCCCCCCCGGGGAAGCAGTAGGGGAGTATTAGGGTTGGGGCCATTGCCCCCCATTTCTCCCCATCCTGCCCAGACCTGAGACCCCGCCACAGACTTGAATTTCTGTCCTGTGGGCTCCACGTCGCCCCTTCCCCTGCCTGGACCCGGTCACCTCCAGCGGGGTGAACCTTGGCACCCGGGGCCGTCTGGCGTGGGATGCAGCCTGGCACCTGGGCTCGGGGGACAGGAGCCAATGGGGTTGGGGAGCCCTTCCAGCCCGAGGGACCCCCCCTCATCCAGCCCAGTCCCCAGGGCAGGGAGGGGATGGGATGGGGCAGACGGGACTCCAGATGGCTGCTCCCAAAGAGGCGAATCCTGGCAGCCCCCCAGCATCTTCCCACCTGCCCACCCTGGCGCTCCCATCGCCCCGGCAGCTGTTGCTACGTCTCCGGGGAATGTGGCTGGGGGAGGGGCAGGGTGGGTTCGCTGGGGCCCGGAGCCACACAAGGGCACTGGGGGGCAGATAGAGGGGAAGGGGCTGGGGTCGAGGGCTAGAGGGTGAGAGGCAGGTAGTGCAATGGGGGAGGGGAACAGCAAGACACACATGCGCTGGGGAGAAGGGGGTGATGCACCTGCATGTGTGTGGTTGGGAGGGTGAGATCGAGTCAAGGACCCCAGCCAGGCGCTGAGATGCGGCTGCCTCTGGGGTGGGGCATGGAGGCTGTTTATACAGGGCCCCTTGCCCGAAGATGCAGCTGCCTCTGGGGTGGGACAGATGGGCCGCGGGGGCTGCATTCCCCAGGACTGTGGCGGTGGTTCCTCACTGTGCTCTGGCTCCCATCACTCCCCCCCCCCATGTGCCTCCCTGCCCAGGGAGCGGTGAGACCCCCCATCCCAGTGGTGCATTGAAATCCTCTGACCCCAGGCTCCGTCCAGCCTGAACCTCCTTTCCCAGACACCCTGGGGAGGGGAACTGAGCTGTCTTCCAGCGCTCCTGAAGGATTCACCCCGCGGGACCCGGCCCTATTGTGTCTGCATTAGGCACGGCCACTGCCCCTTCCGCCCGCCCGAACGGGGTATTGTTCCTCCCAGCCGGGCAGTGCCAGCCGGACACACACAGAACCGGTGGAGCATCCCTAACCCCGCAGCTGGCAGCGCCCCAGATCCAGACCCCCAAGCTGCCTCGGAGCTGGCCCTGGCCCCCCACCCCCGGGAATCTGGGCAGCTGGCTCCTGGGGGAGGAGTATTAGGGGCCCGCGATAGCAAGGAAATGGTACAGCATGGCTGAGATTGGGGGGCACCGGCAGAGCTGTTGGGGGAGGGGGAGCCCAGGGCTGGGATAGTGGTGGGCTGTGGGTCGGGAGTGAGGGGCACTGGCAGAGCTGTGGGGGATCCCAGGTCTGGGATAGCAGGGGCTGTGGGTCGGGGTTTGAGGGGCACCGGCAGAGCTGGTGGGGGGCAGGACTGGGATAGCAGGGGCTGTGGGTCGGGGTTGAAGGGCACAATGGGAGCTCAGGGCTGGAATAGCAGGGGGCTGTGGGTTGGGAGTGAGGGGCAGCAGCAGAGGTGGGGGGGCAGGGCTGGGATAGCGGTGGGCGAAGTGCCCGTGGCTTTGGGCTTTGTCTGTCGTTCGCTGGCCGATCACCCCTCGCCCGTCCGCCGGGTCCCAGACACTCCAATCCCAAGCCAGGCTGCAGGGTCCCCCGGATGCCCTGGGACTCCGTCCCCTCCCCCTCTTTGGCCCCTGCCCCCAGCGGAAGGGGCGGCCTGGCCGGGGGCACTGCAGTACCCTTCCCCTGCCGCAGCCGGCTCCGGGCTGTGCCAGGCCGCCCCCCCAGACGGGCCCCGGCAGCCGGGTGGTGCCGGGGGTGGGAGCCGCTGGCGCGGGGACAGAATTAGCATCTGAATGCGGAGGGTGGCGGGTCCCTGCTGGAGCCAGGCCAGGCTGCCGGGCCTCCCAGCTGCTCCCCAGTGCGGGGGGCCGAGGGGAGGTACCAGCCCCTTTCTCGCTGCCCCGAGGTCAGAGCTAGGCCATGCAATGGGGGGCCCTGCTCCCAGCCCCACCCCAGGGAGACCAGTTCCCAGCTCAGCCACCCTTCCCACGGGGAAGGGGCCTGACATTCAGAGAGGGGGGCTGGGAGCCAGGACTCCTGGGTTCTCTCCCCAGCGTTGGATGGGGAGTGGGGGTCTAGTGGGTGAGGGGGCGGGCTGGGAGCCAGGACTCCTGGGTTCTCTCCCCAGTGCTAGGAGGGGAGTGGGAGTGAGTGAGTGGGGGGCTGGGACCCCGGACTCCTGGGTTCTAGTCCTGTCTCTGCCCTGCAGCCCCCGTCTCAGATCCTGGTTCTTTGCAGCCCAGACTCGCACCGCCCCCCCCGAAGGCTGCTCTCCCCCGGCCAGGGCGGGGGCGGGGGGGGAACGGGAGGTTCCCACGTGACCAGGCACCGGGCCAGGCTCCGGGCTCCGGGCTCCGGCACGTTACTCGCGGCAGCCTGGGACGCGACCGGACGGTGAGTGCGGGGCTGCGCCCCCTGCCCGGGGCTGGTGTTCGCGGGACCGGCGCGGGGGAGCCCCCGGGCGGGGATCGGGACCCGCGGGGACCGGCCGGGGCACGGGACTGTCCCGCGTGGAATTTGCGGGGCGGAACGTGGCGCGGGGGGGTTTCGCCTGCCCCGCGCGGACAAGGCTCTGGGCTCAAAGCTGGATTCAATCGGGGGGTGTCCATGGCCCCCCCAGCGGAGCGCAGGACCAGGGCGCTCCGACTCCTAATGCAGGGAGGGGGGTCCCGGCCCCGGCCCCGTGGGGCAGAATCACGGTGCGACCCTGTGGTACCCAGGGGCAGCTCCCACCCGCACTTCGCTGCCTTCAGAAACACCCTGGGCACAGCCCTCCTCACCCGTCCCTGGCCCACAGCTCGGGCCCGTTCCCCACCGCCTGGCCCCTTGGGGTGTCCATGGGGCCCTGGGGTCGAGGGTGGCAGGGGTTGGGCCCTGGATCTCTGCCACCTGCCCCTCTCTGGGGGCAGAGCACAGACCCGCTGAGCTATCCGACCCTCCCGGAGCCTGGGCATTGCCCCCGCCAGCCCCGATCCTAGTGCAGCGCTGCCTGTGGGTGTGGGTCACAGGGAGTCACTCGCGATTCACCCCACGCTGGCCCTAGGGCATTGGCCCCCCTGAGGTGCCACTGTGACCTTGGCACATGCTCCGGGGGTGGGGAGACAGGGCATCGCTGGGTTCTGGGCCAGGTCATCCCCCCCCTTCCCTGTGGGGGTCACACCAGCCCCCAAGCTCCATGCTGGGTCTGCGGATCGAGGTTTGGCTACCTAGAGCCAAAGAGGGGGAAGCCCCCTCTGCCCCCCCGCTGGTCTCATATATGCCCATATTGACCAGTGCTCAGAGGGAGCCTGGGAACTTTCCCAGCCTGAGGAGGCATCACGCTGCCCCGGGGTGCAGCGCCCCAGGGGTGCAGCCAGCCCAGAACAGCCCGGGTCCAGCTCTCCCCGAGCTGCCGAACGCCCTGGCCTGTGCCACTGCTCGGGGAAGCCGGGGACGAATGGTTCGTTCCAGGGCTCAGAGATCAGGTTTCAGACTGGTAGACGATGAAGTGGGTTTTAGCCCACGAAAGCTTCTGCCCAAATACATTTGTTAGTCTCTAAGGTGCCACAAGGACTCCTCGTTCCTAGGGCTCAGAGAGATGCCACAGGGGGATTTTCAGAGTGCGCTGGGGAACGGAGCTGGGGGAGGACAAGTGATTGTTAGTGTTTGTGTGATGGAAATGTTGACTGAGATCAGGGCCCCGTCGTGCTGGGTGCTGCCCAGACCCCGACCGAGATCAGGCCCCGTCGCGCCGGGACCTGCCCAGACCCCGACCGAGATCAGGGCCCCGTCGCGCCAGGTGCTGCCCAGACCCCGACCGAGATCAGGGCCCCGTTGCGCCAGGCGCTGCCCCGACCCCAGCCAAGATTGGGGCCCCGTCGTGCCGGGCGGGGCCCCGTCGTGCTGGGCGCTGCCCCGACCCCGGCCAAGATGAGGGCCCTGTCGCGCCGGGTGCTGCCCCGACCCCAGCCGAGATCGGGGCCCCGTCGCGCCGGGAGTTGCCCCGACCCCGGCCGAGATCGGGGCCCCGTCGCGCCGGGAGTTGCCCCGACCCCGACTGAGATCAGGGCCCCGTCACGCTGGGCGCTGCCCAGACCCACAGTAAGGGACCCTCCCTGCCCCAGCAGCAGAATGGGGGTGGGTGGTGTGGGGTGGTAAATGGGGCATGGGGGGGGAGGGGGTGTTTTTCCAGTGCAGCTGCTCTCTGCGCATCCCTTGTCCTGGCCGGCCCAAGTGACCCGTCCCCGTCTCTCTGTCGGGCTCGGGCTCCTTGGAGGATTCGCAGCCTCGCCATGAATCCCTCCAGGCCACTCTGTAAGAACAGGATCCCAGCCCCTTGGTCCCGGCTGTCCCCCCCCGCCCCGCCCCTCCCCAGCCCCAGCTGCTGTTATCCCGCAGGCGTTTCTGTTTGCCGGGCCCAGCCCAGCCCGCAGCGGGGGTGTGATACGGGGGTGATTAGAAACTAGCTCAACCCTGCAGGGGACAGAGGGGCTGTGGAGATTTTAGTCTCAGGGAGTGAGGGGGGGAACAAGCCCCATTCCAGACACCCCCCTGCGGGCGGAGGGAACCAGGGAGCGGAGCTGTTCCAGGCTCTGCCATGGCCAGAGGGATGGACAGGCCAGGAGGGCCGTGACCCAGCGCCCAGCTTTGCTGCAAGAGGCCCTGGGAGACCCCCCCGGGCTCGGTACGAGCTTGGCCCCTCCCCCCACGTCCCGGCTCCCTCTCCCGCTTGGTCCATGGGGCTAGGCCCCGGTGGGAGCAGGGCTGTGACGTCTCCAGCCGCGCCTGGCATGCCCCAGCGGAGCCAACCTCTGCCAGCTGCCCCCGGACTGGGTATTTGAAGGGAGTGTCTGGTATTTAACCGCCTGGCCTGGGGCTGGGGCACAGCCCCACAGCTGCTCTGCGGGGGGGAGGGGGGGCGACTTTCCGTCGCCTTCCTGGGCTTTGGATCAGCTCCCCCGCCCCAGGCAAAGCGACCCCCAGACTCCAGTGCCCCTCGTTTCGCACAGGGCGTCAGCTGATCCATTCCCAGCCGCCTGGCAGCCAATCAGGTGCCCAGGAGATTGAGATGCCCACGCCCCGCTTGCCCGAGTGGGCACCAGTTGCTGCAAAACAGCTGGGCACCAATGCCGAGCGAGCAGTGGGCAGTGCCAGCCGGGGGAGCGGGGAGCCCTGCGCTGGGATTCCTGCTGCTTTGAATACGTGGGGCGTGAGGGCCAGAGGCCAGCCCCAGACGCGCTGCAGAAAGCAGGCGGCGCAGGGCAGAGCCGGGAATCGGCGGTTCTTCCGGCTGGCTGAAGGCAGAGGGCATGGAGGGGGAGCGTCCCGGCGGGAGGCAGCGCCGGGGGTGTGTGTGTGTGTGTGTGTGTTTGCATGCACGGTGGTCTGTGATGTCCAAGCGCAGGCGTGTGTGGTGGGGGATGTGGCTGGGGGGTGCAGGGGGCTGAGAGGTGGGAGCAGGAGCTGTGCGTGAGGGAGGTACCCCCAGTACCAGCCCCCTGAGTGGAGTTCTGCCCCCCAGTCCCCCGCGTTCTCTATGGCCCCAGTGGAGCCTGCCCCCTGGGCGCCCAGAGGCCGGTACACGGCACCAGGGTCCTGACGTGCCTCTGCCCCTCTTCGCAGGGCTCCCCCAGGCGGCTGACGATGCCCCGCACCGAGCGGCCCCCTGCCGCTGAGCCGCAGTAACACCCGCCGTGGCAAGCAGGCCCCGGCACGGGGCCAGGAGAGCGCCCGCTGCTGGCGAGCCGGAGCGGGCAGGGCCGCGCCATGTAGCGCCCGCGGCAGCCACCGGCATGGAGCTGATCACGGCTGAGTCCCCGGCCCGGCTGGTCCGGCTCTACCGGGAGTATCACAACAACGAGCTCATCTCCCTGCACTACAACTACACGGGGAAGCTGCAGGCCAGCAGCAAGTACAAGGGCGGCCTGAAGGCCGACGCGGTGGCGTTCCTGGCCGTCTGCGCCCTCATCGTGCTGGAGAACCTGGTGGTGCTGCTGGCCATCTGGAGGAACAAGAAGTTCCACTCGCCCATGTTCTACTTGCTGGGCAACCTGACCCTGTCGGACCTGCTGGCCGGGCTGGCCTACACGGCCAACATCGCCATGTCGGGCGCCAACACCCTCCAGCTCACCCCGCTGCTGTGGTTCCTCCGGGAGGCGGGCGTCTTCATCACCCTGACCGCCTCCGTCTTCAGCCTGCTGGCCATCGCCATCGAGCGGCACATCACCATGAGCCGCATGAAGCTCTACCACGGCGACAAGAAGGGCCGCATGTTCCTGCTGGTGGGGGCCACCTGGGCGGCTTCGGTGCTGCTGGGGGTCCTGCCCGTCATGGGCTGGAACTGCCTGGACAGGCTGGCCGACTGCTCCACCGTCCTGCCGCTCTTCTCCAAGAGCTACGTCCTCTTCTGCATCACCGTCTTCCTGGTCATCCTGGTGTCCATCACGGTGCTCTACGCCCGCGTCTTCCGCATGGTCAAGGGCAGCAGCCCGCGGCCGGGCCGCCTGCGCAAAGGGATGCTGAAGCGCTCGCAGAAGTACATGGCCCTGCTCAAGACAGTCACCATCGTGGTGGGGACTTTTGTGGCCTGTTGGCTGCCCCTCTTCCTGCTGCTGCTGCTGGACGTGTGGTGCGAGGCTCAGGCCTGCCCCGTGCTCTACAAGGCCGACTACTTCCTCGGCTTGGCCATGATCAACTCCCTGCTCAACCCCATCATCTACACGCTGACCAGCAAGGACATGCGCCGGGCCATCCTCAAACTGCTGTGCTGTCTGCTGGTGGGGCCGCCCGAGGACGGCCCGGCCCAGCGCTTCGGGATCCCCATCCTGGAGTGCAGCACCAGCAAGTCAGAGCGCTCGTCCCACCGGCCCGAGGGAATCGATACCAGCCTGTCCACGGGCAACGGCACGCCCACCCCCATCAAAGCGCTGGTGCCCAGTGCCGAGTCCTGAGCCCCCTCCCCTCACACCGGGGTCGGAGCGTGGCACGGGCCGGGGGGAGAGCTGGGACAGGCGCCCCCGCGACTTGGAATGGCTGGAGCCCTGGCTGCCTGGGAGGTGAGGGACCCCTGCAGGGAGCTGTGTGCCCCCACCAGGGGGCCGTAGCCCTGGGGTGCCCCCTGCTGGTCTGGTCTGTACGAAGCTCGTTGCTGGTCCGGGCAGCGTATCTGTACGGCACACCGCGTTAACACCCGTGGGCCCGAATTGCTCAGACAAGCCAGACCCCCACCAAGTGATCCAGTGCATCCCCTGGCGCAGAGCCGATCCCAGATCCCGCGCCCCACGCAGCCCCCCGGCGCAGAGCCGATCCCAGATCCCATGCCCCACGCAGCCCCCCGGCGCAGAGCCAATCCCAGATCCCGCGCCCCAGCAGCCCCCCGGCGCAGAGCTGATCCCAGATCCCGCCCCCCACGCAGCCCCCCCATGGCCAGTACAGCCCACATTACAACCCCTGTGCCCCCTCCCAGAGGCTCAGCACACCCCACTTCCCACTCTGGTGACCCAGTACAGTAGACCCCCCCCCCATCCCCATGCCCCGCGCTGCCTGGGGGCTCACTGGCCAGGCCCTGCGCTCCCATCACTCGTGGTAAATTAAGGCCTCTCGGGGCCCCTTGTTGTTGTTGTTTTTTAACAGGTTTGTAATAAAAAGCCTCCTTGGCGCTCCCTGTCCTGTCCTGCCCCCCTTAACCCCTTTGCTGCTGGCACTTCCTGTGTGGGCAGAGCCATGGTGCCAGGTCCCCGGGGGGCAGCTGTGAATTGGTTTCTGTTGCTGGGGGGGACAACGATTCGGGGGCACCCCAGCGTGGGGGGAGGGACACCAGGTATCCAGCATGGGGGTGAGCTCACTTTGCTGGGCATGGAGACCAGGGCAGGGGGGGGGGGGATTGCCTCGGCAGTGACCCTGGCCCGGTCGGCACAGGGGTGCGTGGAGCCGAGGCAGGACATGATGCAGTTTCCTCAGGAAACCCTCTCTCCTTGCGGGCTACGCTTTGCAGACGGAGCCTGGTGCTCGGAGCTGTACCCTGACCTTGCCACAGCTGGGGACTGTGGGGGAAAGGAGTGGGGGGGTAAGGCCCCCCCATGGCATGTGTTCCTAGGCCCCTGAGGGAGTCTTGGATGGGGGAGGAGAGCCCCTCGGGGTGTGGCCAGGACAGGGAGCCGAGCCCCACAGGCTGCTCCTGCCCCTCTCGAGGACCCCAGGGCAGACGGGGTGAGGGACCCAGCTCAGCCTGACACGGCCGCAGCCTGGGCCTCGCCCGTGTGCTGCCCACGGCTGCCCCTTGGCCAGGGCGGAGCCAGGCCTCGAACGCCTTCCTCGGGCAGCAGAAAGGAGGGGCTGCGGGTCGGGGGTGCGGGGCAGGACTGGGATAGCAGGGGGCTGCAGGTCTGGACTGAGAGCCACCGGCAGAGTGAGGGGAGCCCGGGGGAGGGTCAGAAGCAGCCCCCTGAGTGGACTCACCCCCCCCCATCTCTCTGGTGTCCCCCAGTCTCGCCCCATGGCTCTCTGAGCGATATCAGGGCGCTCAGCGCCCTCTTGTGGCCAGCTGGGGAACGGCCCCAAGGCCTGTGCCCTGCGGTCATTCAGGGACAGAGGAGTTGGGGTCACTCGTGGGGGGTGAAATGCAGCGAAGGGCGGGTCCGACACGCTGTGCAATGAGACGTGCCCCTGGGCAGCGCTAGGGGGCGCTTTGTCGGTGGAGGGAGGGGTGTGGGGCTCAGCAGGGGGCGCTCTCCCTCCCAGAATCAATATTGATCCCACCACATCTGCCCTTGCGGCCGGATCACCTTAGCCCAGGCCACTGATGAGATCGGGGTCCACACATCCCACTTGGCCCCTGGACAGACAGTGCTTAAACCCTGTAAAAACGACATAATAGACATCCAATCTCCTCCTGTCCCTCGCTTCAGTGTAGGTATTCAAACCTTATCCCGCGTGAAGGAAAGAACCGCTTGCTCGGCGCTGCCGAAATCCTATTATGACAAACTGACGAGTGATTTGGGGTTTTCCCGCAGTCGGGGGGTTTTGCCCACCCCATCGCCCCTGGAACAACGAACTTTTCCTGCTCCCGCTATTATGGCTGCGAGTGCTTGGGGATCCCAGTCCCGCTGGAGGGCTCTCCCGCTGGGTGCTGGCATTGGCGCGTTACCGGCAGGCCCCACAGCGGCTCAGAGCGAGTGGGGGCACCTGGGGCAGCAGCTGGAACCCCGTTATTCGGGAGGCTGCAGGCCCGAGGGGAGCAGCTGCTGTGGCCCAACCGGTGGCCAGGTCAGGTGGTCGCTGAGCGCTGCTGTCCTCGGTGTCCTTGGGGATTAGCTGAGGTGGGTGACCTGGAAGGGAGGGGCCCTGTGGGCGGTTGAGGCCCCTGGTGATTTCTAGCACATCGCTCAGAGTCTGACACGGCCCAGAGGTCCCCCCTCAAGGGCAAGTATGAAATCCAAGTCCCCTACGGGTCACCCGTCGAGAGACCGTTTAACAGAACCCAGGAGTGCTGGCTCCCAGCCCCTCCCCCCCCCAACCACTACGCCCCCACTCCCCTCCCAGGGCCTGGATAGAACCCAGGCGACCTAGCTCCCAGCCCCCCCC